GGTTGGACTGGATGGCCCTTGGGGGTCCCTTCCAACTCCAGGATCCTACGTATTCCTCCATGGCAAAATTAATATCCCTTGATTTTTCTCTCCCTAACACAGCAGGGCTACTCTCTTCTGGCTTTTCATCTGAAAAAAGTTTGCTATCCTGTCCTTCCAGCAACTCTTTGGCGAGAAAGGGAAGGAGAAGGCCAGATTCGAACTCTTCACCTCTGCCCCTTTCCGAGGGAAGAACCTGCTCTTCCGCGACGCGACTCGCCGTTTGCGTATCGTGGTCGGAGAGGAGGCTGACGTCAGCCAGGTTCTGGGCATGGACTACGTAGCCCTCTTGCAAGGCTTGGGCCACGAAGGTGAGAATGTGTTTCATTGGAAGGGTCCCTCAAGGGACATCCAATCTAACCCAATACAGCCTAGGATCGCATTGGGCTTTTTTGCTGCAGCATCACACTCCCGGCTCAATTTTAGTTCTTTCCTCAGCTGCGTCTTGCCTCAATCTGGAAACTCTCTACCTCTTAAGATTGACTTTGGCCTCCTTCCGTCCCTCAGGGAGCTCGCTTTCTAACAGCCTGGTACGGTGGTGCTGCATCAGCGACGCCGAACTCCGTAAATGCGAGGAGTGGGCCCTGAACGTCCGGTCTGACCCCCTGGTTTGCGTCCAAGCGGACTCCATGGCTGCTTGCATCGAGCGGATCAAGGTAAGAGCATGGGCTTTAGCGTACATTGGTCCCTCCGCGTTCGCTATTCTTTTTACCTCTCTAGGAATCTCCAGGTCCTCCAGCACAACTCTATGGTCAACATCTGCCTAATGTTGGTCATAGAGTCACGCTGGAGGGCCTACAACTGCCTAGAGAAGTGTTTTCTCTAGGAACTGCTAGGTAGAATCATAGAGTTGGAAGAGACCACAAGGGCCATCCAGTCCAACCCCCCCTGCCATACAGGAACTCCCAATCAAAGGTCCTCCAGCACAACTCTATGGTCAACATCTGCCTAATGTTGTTCATAGAGTCACGCCGGAGGACCTACAACTGCCTAGAGAAGTGTTTTCTCTAGGAACTTCTAGGTTCTCCAGCGCAACTCTATGGTCAACTTCCGGCAGAGTTGCGCTGGAGGACCTAGAAATTCCTAGAGAGGACATATTAATCAAAGCCAGAAATGTGGAGGGCCAATTGTACATATAAAACCAAATTCTTAATTAAATGTTTTGTTTTTTTTCACGCGGCAGAAAAACGAGGCCGACGCCGTCACGCTGGACGCCACTCACGCCTTTTTCGCCGAGACCTGCGCGCTGGTTCCAGCGGCCGTAGAAATTTACGGTGAGCTTTTTTCCGCACTCAATAATATTATATAAAATGGCAATATCAGTTTTAAAAGGAACTGGGAACTGTAGTTTTGTGAGACATGTAGTATTCTCTGTCAGAGAGCTCTGGTGCCACAATAAACTACAATTCCCAGGATTCCTTAGCACTGACTGTTGGTGCCGAAATAAATTGCGCAGTCTCGTTTATTTTCGTTTTCCCTCCCGAAACTTAACGGCACAGATCCGGAGCCGCTCTACGCCGTAGCGCTGGCGAAGAAGGATGCCAAGAGCGTCAATCTCCACAACCTGAGGGGGAAACGGTCCTGCCACGGATGCGAATTCTGCCCCGCGGGATGGCTGCTCCTTTCCCGGTACGGCGTCGGAGGAGCGCCGGAAAACGGCGCAAGCGTCACCTGCAACCTCAGCGCCGGTAAGAGACTTGTCAGAACTTACCCTCCAAAACACACTGCAGAAATAATCCAGTTTGAGGCCGCTTTAGCTGCCCCTGGCTCAGTGCTATGGAACTCTGGGAATTGTAGTTGTCAGGGATTCTGGGAGCCGAAGTCCAGGGGTAGGCAACCTTTTTTCCCCTTTAAGGGCCAAGGAGCGACTTCAGCTCCCAGAAGCCTCAGCCATGTTGGCCTATAATAGTCCCATGTTGGCCTCTAATAGCTCCGGGGATTCTGGGAGCTGCAGTCCCTCCTTGGCCCTTAAAGGGGAAACCCCCCGAACATCTGGAGGACCAAAGTTTAGGAATCACGGTAATTGGCGGCCTTTTTCCTTTCTCCTCAGCATACCAGGATTACTTCTGGAAGGGCTGCATGCCCGGGGCTGATGGGAACCTTTGCAAAGTCTGCGTCGGGCGAAAAGAGGCGGCCATGGCGGCGACAGAAGGCGCGGGCAAGGACTCGTCCAAGTGCGCGGCCAACCATAACGAGCGCTATTACGGAAATCTGGGCGCCCTCAGGTGAGTCCCACGGTTTGTATTCTTATTTACCCAGCTAGGACTTAACATCAGGAACTGATTGCATTAAATTAATTTTATTAATTTTTTAATCATTAAATTAATTAATTTAAATTAAATTAAATTAAATTAAATGAATTTTTTAAATTAAATTATTTTTTAAATTAAATTCAATTAATTTTTAAATTAAATTAAAATTTTTAATTAAATTAAATTAAATTTTAAATTAATTTAAATTAATTTTTAAATTAAATTAAAATTTTAAATTAAATTAAATTAAATGAATTTTTTAAATTAAATGAATTTTTAAATTAAATTAATTTATTAAATTAAATTAAGTTAAATTTTGAATTAAATTAATTTTTAAATTAAATCAAATTTTAAATTAAATTAAAATTTTAAATTAAATTAAATTTTAAATTAATTTAAATTAATTTATAAATTAATTTAAATTAAAATTTTAAATTAAATTAAAAATTTAAATTAAATTAAAATTTTAAATTAAATTAAAATTTAAATTAAATTAAATTAAAATTTTAAATTAAATTAAATTAAATTAATTTTTTAATCATTAAATTAATTAAATGATTAAAACATATACAGCTGCCCCTCTGCTTTCGCGGGGAATCCATTCCGGACCCCCGTGCGAAAACGGAAAACCGCCAATGTTAAGGCCCCATAGACATGAATGAGGGCGCGTGCCTCATTTTTTCTCCCCCTCCGTTTCCTAATAGGTTTATTCTTATGACCTCTGTTGCTTTCGATGGGAATTTTAAGTCATAATGACCTCTGGTTTGGGGCCGTTCTTCCTCCAGGTGCCTCATGGGAGATCCAATCCGGAGAAGTTACGGCGACGTGGCTTTTCTGGAACATCACGGTCTGCTCCAGAACATCAAACGTAAGCCGTTATCAAGGTTGAGTCTCCCTTAATCCAGAAATCCGTAATCCGAAATACTCCAAAACCCAAAATTGCCCACTAATTAAGACAGCCATGGAAACCCCACTGGGTGACCTTGGGCAAGTCACACTCTCTCAGCCTCAGAGGAAGGCTCTGGTAAGAAACCTTCTCTGAAGGAGTCTTGCCAACAAAACCAATACAATAACATCGCTATAAATAGATTGTATTAATATATCTGTATAAATAGAAATTTTAATGTTTTAATGCAGGGGTAGGCAACCTTTTTTCCCTTTTAAGGGCCAAGGAGGGACTACAACTCCCAGAAGCCTCAGCCATGTTGGCCTATAATAGTCCCATGTTGGCCTATAATAGCTCCTGGGATTCTGGGAGATGAAGTCCCTCCTTGGCCCTTAAAGGGGAAAAAAGGTTGCCTACCCCTGATTTATATATTGTCCTTTTAAAAAACCCCATTCTTCTTATTGTTTTAA